GATTTAAATAAAAATGTTTAAGGTTACTTGACACATGAAGAAACAGGAACATGTGACATATTTTTAAAAGAAAAGACAAACATCATAGGCAACCCAGATATTAGAATTAACAGTCAGAATTTTAAAGCAGCTATGTGAACTATTCTCAATGGTATAAAAGAAAATATGAAGTAGCCAAGAAATGAAAATTATAATAAACAACCATATTGAAATTCTAAACGCAAAAAATTCCATGCTTAAGTACAAAAAAAAAAAATTATACACTCTGAGGCAGGTAATCCATTTTTTCCAACATGCCAATTTGGGGGAGGATAAACTGACACATTATAGAAAATCAAATGAATAAGTTAAAATCTATCTACTTCTGCAATCTTTTCTAATTTTCCCTACTGGTGTGATATTTCACTGCTCATAAAATGTGTCATCTGCAAACAAAGAGTTTACTTAGTTCTTTCTTACCAATGTAATGTCTAAAATGTTAAATACTGATTAAGATTGGACTAAACAATTATTCCTAGAGAACATTTCTGTCTTCACTGAACTCCTTTCTATTTATACTTTTTGACTCTCATTCTTCAGTTACAAAAGAGAAATCAATTCCCTGAGAACTCAGGATAACAATTTAAAAAAAAAGCCAATTTTTTTCAAGAGGTATAATAAACCCAGATATGACTGATGAAGAGATAAAGAAAATGTGGTATATACATAAAATGCAGTATTACACAGCTTAAAAGAGCAGAATGCTAAGTGAAATAAGCCAGTCACAACATACGTATCAAAACTGTATGATTCTAATTATAAGTGCCACTTACATTAAATTCCACTTACATTAAATATCTGAAGTAGTTGAAATCATAGAACCAGAAAGCAGAATTGCTTACCAAGGGCTGAGGGGGTGGGGGTGGGGGGCAGATTAGTGTCTAATAATGGGTATGCAATTTCAGGGTTGCAAGATGAAAAAGTTCCAGAGATCTGTTGCCTAAAAATGTGAATATACCTAATATTACTGCACTGTACATTTCAAAATAGCTAAAATAGTAAACTTTAATGTTGTGTCTTTAACCATAATAAAAAAGAGTCTGTCAACTTTTTTACACTAAAATTTAGAACCTTCTTGATGGCTTTTTGTTTACATATTTCATTGCTCATTTCTTTTTTGTTCACATGTATAGTTCTCACTCAAGTGAAATATTATAACACGTTCATTTACAGAATTCTTTGTTGACTCTCTCCCATGGTTTTATACTTATCTAAAATATTCACTGATCTCAATCCTCATACATTATGTAAATTCTATAAAGACAGAGGTTTGGTTCAGTTTGTAGTTCTTGAGGTCCTTAATTTCTATGGTCGGGCAGGTAATTTATCAGTTCTCAAGCAGTTAGACCTATTCTAAGTACTCTATTTGATAACAAAATTATCATATATGTGCTGCAGTTTCAGGTTCACTCTTGAGGCCCCTTAAAATTATTGTGTGAATACCATATAGTTATTTTTTTTCAAAATTTTCATTTTATTGAACCTTAAAATCACATAAAGTCATCTGTAAGACCCACACCATTCCTTTAAACATTAGAAACTTAGCTGGGCACGGTGGCACATGCGTATAATCCCAGAAGCTTGTGAGCCTGAGGCAGGAGGATCATGAGTTCAAAGACAGCTTCAGCAAAAAAGCAAGCTAAGCAACTCATCAAAACCTTGTCCCTAAACAAATTACAAAAATAGGCTGGGACTGTGGCTTCATGGTCGAGTGCCTCAGAGTTCAATCCCCGGCAGTCGCCCCCGCCGACAAGAAAAATTAAAAACTTAAACAAATGTAAGATTTAGGCTAAAGTATTTGCTGAATTACTGTATGAAGAGATCATTCAAATAATGTAATATAAAAATTTTGGATGAAGTCTTACTAAAAATCAGTAACTTTATAGTCTCTATAGCCATTAACTGCATGGCAATGTATCTTATTATCTGCTGAACAATGTAATACTTGTTTTTTCATTTTCTTGTCAAATTCAAAAGCACTTAGAAATCAATGAGTACTCTCTTTCACTAGATTATGCTTCAGTTTGCTCACTACAAAATATTTATTCCCATCAGAGCTCAGAACATGATACCCCCAAATATGTTACCCTATCATACTGAGTAGTTTAATTTGAAGGAAATTGAGAAAAATGCAGAAGCAAGGTTTTCCTGACTTTCTCCTGCCCTCTCTCTCAAAGCAGGTCATAGAAACTGCAAGTCCCCTCATTCCTTTTCCCCTGAAGCAGGCCATGAAGCCTAGGAAGGTCACTCTCTGACCACCTCTTTTGCTCTTCCCTTGAAGATCCTCATGTGACAAGTGTCCTGCCCTATAAAAGAAGGAATGTCACACAGAAAGGTCAAGAAGAATCTGAACAAACCTTGTTAAGTTCCTCCCTAGTTATTACCATTAGATCATACCTTTTGTCCTCTTGTCATACTTCTGCATGACTGTCCACAGAAATAGACTTCCCTAAGTCTTTGTATCTTTACTTGAAGGCTTTCAATGTTACATCAAACTTATGAGAAAAGGATATTACTTTTTCTCTCATACATCATTTAGGGAAGAAATCTGCATTTTCTCTCATAAAAGGAAAACTTACTTTTGGGGGGTTAAGAAACTTGAAATTTAATGGCACTACTAAAAAAATTCAAAAATTTTTTTGCTACTCCATTTGGATTTGATGGGCATTATTTATGTTTTCATTGCTTGCCTCTGGCCACCAAATTAAATATTGTATACAATGCCCACATACTAAACAGGAGAAAAACATGAAATACCATCAAAGAACCCAAATGAGAACATTTAAAATTAACAGGAGAAAAAATGATGCTTCCAACTGAAAAACCCCGATTTCATTTCATATTTTCAATAAACAAGGAGCTTGTGACTAGTTGGTAATTTAATGACCACCTCATAAATAAACCCCAACAATATGTAGCAAAATTTCTTTTAATATTAAATATAATGTTATTTACTATTCTTATTTAAAAGGTCTTTTTTTTAAAAAAAAAATAAGCTGCTTAATGATCTGGTTCTATTTCTCACTTTAAATTATTCAATTTATTATTTCTTAGTGTTTGGTAAGTTGACTTGTATTAGGCTCTTAACAGAGTAGAAGAACCAAATTCTAAGGGTAGCCTCAACATAAAAATAATGTTGTATCTATATCATATTCTATTGTATCTATATCACATTCTCTGAATTGCTAATTCCTTTTATTGAATATGTAAGACATTAGTTTTTTCCCTATTGTGATTTAACTCTGTTTATAATACTGTTAAATTTAGGATTATGCTTTCAGCTGAGAGGTGATAAATCTGAAAGAAATAAACTTATAAATGAGGGTTAATTTCATGAGTTCTCTTGGCTAAGCCACAATACATTAGTCACATTATTCTAGATGCTCCTGAGAAGTTATTTACTTATTTATTTATTTTAGTTGAGATTAACATTTAATTAGTAAACTTTGAGTATATAGATTACTAACCATAATGTGGGTGAACCTCATTTAATTAGTTGAAGGCTTTAATAGACGGACTTCCAAAGGAAGGAATTCAGGCAGCAGATTACTTATAGATTTGAATTACAACTATTCCCTAGGTATCCAGCCTGCCAGTCCAACCTCGAGATTTTGGACTTGCCAAATTTCCACAATTATATGAGTGGGTAGGGGGATAGAGGGGATTGAACTCAGGGGTACTCAACCAATGAATCACATCCCCAGGCGCTGCCCCCCACTCCCCACCCATTTTTTTTTTTGTATTTAGAGACAAGGTCTTGAGTTGCTTAGCACCTCGCTTTTGCTGAGCCTGCCTTTGAAATCACGATATTCTTGCCTCAGCCTTGGGATTGGCTGGGATACAGGTGTGCACCACAATGCTCAACTAGCCAATTTCTTAAAACTTTTCTTCATCTCTCCCACCCCTCAATCTCAGTATCTCTCTCTCCCTACACACACACACACACACACACACACACACACACACACCCTGTTTCTGTTTCTATGGAAACAGTGACTAACAGACTCATAAATAAAACCATTCCTATGTTCAAAAGTTATTAATGCATTAAAACACCTAAGAACCTTATGAGTTAAAGCACATTAATTATCTATGCTTTCTTATCAACAATCTAAAGGTGTTAGCAAGGGTAAATCAAACTAAATTCTGAGACATAAAGGCATTACTGATATTTGAGTCTGAAAAGTACAGAAACTTATTGTACTATGGAGTTAAAAATATATCACATTAATAATAAGTCTAGAGTTGCAAGTTTTCTTTTTCTCAGCAAACTACATTAACATGATAGTATTCTGAGACATTTGACCAATGTTATAATCAAGCTAATGATTAGTCCACACTCCTATAAATAAAGAGTTATAAATATGATGACCTTATAATTAATTTATCAATTAGATTGGGAGGCCTTTGAAAATGAATTGGGTGCTATTAATACTATATATCAGGAACAATGAGGACAGTCCTAGGAAAATCAGAGCTTATAAGTCACCCTAATAAAAAGGCGAAACATCCTTTTTCTTACTTATGGAACCAAAAAAGATTCCCCATATACCTTCACCTATCTTTCTTGTTTCTTGCCAAAACTTCTGGACAGAGTACTATCAGAAATAAACCTAAATTATTAAGCAGACTCTTGTGTGCATATATCTCATTTGAGTAATCACATAGCAATTTTCAGATATGGGCCATATTTAGGATTTCAAAGGTATTTGATTATGAAAACCAGTTACAACAAAATGCTAAACTGTGGATTACCTATCAATATCATAGACTTATTTTCTCAATTTGTAAGGTGACTGCTCCCAATTTAACCTAGTTCTTACTACTTATGAAGAATCACAGAAGTCAGCACTCCATAGTGCCATTTTTCAATGACCAACTTTTATATTACCACAAATCTTGAGAAACTCCTGATAGAAAAAGTTCTCACTTCTTCCACAAATAATCAAAACCATACAAACCTCTGTCAATTGCTTCAATTGGCCTTTATTTGTACTTAATTCTTCTGATAGGTCATTCTTTTTCACATGTAGTTCATAAATTTCCTTTCTTAATGGATTTACTAGTTCATAGAAACGAATCTTAAAAAAAAGAAAAACCCAAAATTAATAAGAAGTCTTTCCAAATTACAATTAAAATTTGCTAATTTACAATACAGTAGTCGACCTTTATCTATATTTTAACTTTACATAGTTCCCTTTACCTACCATTAACTGTTGTCTGAAAATATTCCAGAAACAATCATAAATTTTAATAATTTCTATAAAAATAAATACTACCAGGCTGGGGTTATGGCTCAGTGGTACAGCACTTGCCTAGCATGTGTGAGGCACTGGGTTCGATTCTCAGCACCGCATACAAATAAATAAAAAGGAAGGTCCATTGACAACAACAAAAATTTAAAATAAATAAATTAATTTTAAAATTAATAATTAATTTTAAATTAATAATTGTTCAATTTTACCACAGGTATGCATTTATAGAAAAAAACTGCATACTTGATAAAACACTATTCAAGGTTTCAGACATTCACTCGGGTTCTTGCAATGTCTAAATATATGATAAACAATAAATAACTGATGAAGAGATAGTCTCTATTCTTTTCGTATGTGTGTGGTGCTGGGAATTGAACCCAAGGCCTCACACATGCTAAAAAACACTTTACCACTAAACCACACCCCCAGTGCTATCCTTTGCTCTTCCAGGTCCTTGGCAAAGCTCTGTTTACTGCTGCCACTACAGTGCAAGGGATAAGCAGGATGAATCAGGAGGTATTTTTGATCCGATTACTTCCACTCCTAACTTTCTCAGGGGAATTGGCCTGCCCTAACTCAGCAAAGTGTTTTATCGTAAAGGTCCTATAAGACTCAGAAGCCAATTAGTAAGTTAGGAGAGAGTAATTAGTGATGATTTATTATACAAGTATATAAACTGAAACTTCTCAATAAATGACATCGCAGCTTGTATAGTTAATGGATTGTGTGCACACACGTAAACACACACACACACACACATTTTTTTGGAGACAGGATTCCATTATGTTGCCCAGGCTGGTCTTAAACTCTGGGAGTTAAGCAATCTTTCTGCCTTAGTCTCCCAAGAAGCTGGGAATACAGGCTTGTGTCATCACACCTGGTTCTACATTCTTGTATATAAAAAAATTTGTCAGGTTTAATTTCTAATATGGCAAATACTGATAAAGAGATGTTGACACCAAACAATATTAGATCACTGTCACAGACTAATTCTAATCATAGGGTTATATAAAACCACAAGAAAGATTTTGAATTATTCTTGTTACCACAGAGTTCTTATCCTTCACCTTACAACCACACCAACTCCATTCTCCCCCACTATCCCTAATAAACCCTGGGCAACAACTAATCTGTGGCTCACCTCCATAATTTTCCATTTGAGAACATTATAAACCATCACTTATGATAAAATAATTCATTTCTGTGGACTAAGTAGCCCATAACTTCAGAGCCCTATTTATTGCTAGCCTTTAAAGACCAATGGTCAAAGACCTTTAAAATTTGATGATCTGAACACCACTCACTATTTTCAGATCAGGACCCTAATATAATTTATCAGCTCTGTACTTCAACATTAATGACTACTACATAAACAGCAAACTTAACACTTACAGATATATATTCAGGAATGGAAAGCTGATCTTCAGGAAAAGTTTTTAGCTTTGTGTATTGCTCTTCTGTCAACTCAAAATCACGTAGGTTTCGACGAATATCTCCAGCTTTCTCTCTTAGCTGATGATTTGTCTCTTCTAGTTGCTTCTGCCTCAATAAAATGGTTTCCATTTCTTGTTTCATTAGTTCTTGGTATTTTCTACATTAGGAGAGAATTTACGGCAAGCTTTAAAAAATCTTTGCAATTTGACTTTCTCAAAGTTCTCTATAATAACATAAAATTAGGAAATGAGAAGTCCAATAATATTCTCTCTCTCTTTTTTTTGTGCTGGGGGATACTAGGGATTGATCCACTGGCTCTCTCTTTACCACTGAGCTTCAATCCTATCCCTACCCCTTCTTCTTCTTCTTCTTCTTTTTTTTTTTTTAATTTTGAAACAGGGTCTTGCTAAGTTGCTGAACTTATGATTCTTCTGACTTGGCTTCCCAGTCTTCAGGATTATAAGCATGCAACACTGTACACAGCTGCCCAATATGTTCTTGTCTACAACCTGAAGTGTATTTACTTAACCAGTTATACATAAAATTGACTTCCATACTAATTAACAAATGTCTAGCCACATAAGCTATTAGGGAATTGATATTGTTAAAGAATAATTCTAAAAATTCAAATCATAAAATTATACATTTCCTCTGCTTAAGTTTTAAGTCTTTTACACCTGCTTTGGATTCTCCTTATTAAGTTCATTTTCATTTCTCTTTTATCCTGGAACTTCAAGGAATATCTCTTTTAAGATGGCAACAATGAACCACCATAAAGTAGTCATTCAACCAATGAGACTAATGTGCAGATACTCTCCATTCTCAAAGAACATGCATAGAAAATGGATGGCATTAGAGCAGATTATGCTAAGTGAAGTTAGCCAATCCCTAAAAAACAAATGCCGAATGTCTTCTCTGATATAATCGGGGGTGACTCACAATGAGGTAGGGAGGAACAGAATGAAAAGAAGACTACCATTAAATAGGGAAAAAAGGCGGGAGGGAAAAAGAGAGAGAAGGGGAGTTGCACAGAAGATGGAAGGAGAACCTCATTGTTATACAAAATACATATATGATGTTGTAATGAGAAAAAGAAAAAAAAAGTGTAACATTAGATTGGATAGAGAGAAAGGATGGGAGAGGAGGGAGGAGTAGGGAGGATAGGAAGGGCAGCAGAAGAGAATAGACAATATGATTGATGTATGTACATTCTATGTATGTATTATATGTCAAAATACATTCTGCTTTCATGTATGACTAAAAAAATATAAAATAAAAAAAGAACATGCATAGAAGCCATTATTATTCTCGTCTACCCAAAGATTTTAAAGCAAGAAAAAACAATCTGATTTCACCTCCCATTAACAAACATGCTATTATTTTTCTCATCTTAAAACAAATGAACAAATTAAAAAAACGACACCATTTCACTTTTCCTTTTATTTGTTCCCTCCTGCTCAAAAGTTATTTTTGTTGTCTAAGTTCTCAATTCTTTACCTCTTAAACCCATGCCAATTGGGTTTTTACCCTTTACTTAAATCTCAATGATAGACTGCCAATGATCAATTCTTAGTTCTTTTTATCCATGATCTAACAATGGCAGTTGACACATGTGATCTTTCTTGATAAACTTTCTTTTCCTGGCCTTATAGACACAACACGTTCTTTGTGTTTCTCTCCTTTTACTATGGCATCTTCTCAATTTCCTTTGTCTTACTGTTGGAGCACTTAGACCTCTGTCTATAATCTCCCTTTGGGAATTCATGTAGCCTAATGACTCAAATATGGGCTATATCCTAATGACTCCTAGATTTGTTCTTACAGACCAGATTTTTCATATACCTCCACACGGATTTCTAACAATTCAACTTTAACTCAACATGTACCTAACTGAACTTCGACTCTACTCACAAACCCATCCACTATGACTTCTTCCATCAGAGCTGACAGCAACTTCATCTTTTCATTTATACAGACTAAAAATGTTGGTGTAATCCCTGACTCTTCAGGACATTTTATCAGCTCTACCTTCAAAATATATTCAGAATCCAACTACTTATTAACACCACAGAAATAGTTTCCCAACTGCCCTTTCAGGATCATTTAATCTGAAAAAAGTCTAACAAAGTTTTGTCCCAATAGCACCAGAATCACCTGGGAAACTGGCAGAAATGCACATTCCCAGACCCAATCCAAATCAGAATCTCTGAGGACTAAACCCAGTAATCTTTTTAAATAAGCCTTCCAGGTATTTCTGATGTATAATGAGGTTTTAGATCTAATGTATTAGTAGCTAATAATTGCCACACTGCTTTTTAGGAAATAGATTAAATAGTGAATTTTTTAACAGAAAGATATCTACTTTACACACTTCTAATTAAAACATAGAAAAAAACATTCATTTGCCACAATTTTTACAGAGGTCCAGATGTTTTGAATACAAAGGTATACTTTCATTTCTATATAAAAAAAACATTCAGAGAAATCTGAGCAGATACTTTTCATAGATTTGTTTTATTTTTTTGCCCCTAATCTTTAAACCTGTTTTACTGATACTTAATTTGATGATTTTGTCACTTTTTCACATTCATATTCAATTGTTTATATAACTTTGAATCAATTACATGAGCATAATTGGTATAGACATATTTGAGGGCAAACAGTGGGATCTTGATAAGAACACAATTGAACTGGAGAAAGTACGCAGAAAGCTCCAACAAGCCATGAAGAAAATTTAATCTAGACAGCTAGTCAAGAGGTGGTCCTTTTAAATAGCCTCCTTTGTCTTTTAATGGTTCACTTACACTGCTCAACGTTAGTTGAATGAAACGTTGAATTTTGACTTTTTATATTTTTTATATTGCTATATCAAATAACCTATTTTTTGGTGTTGATGTGAAAATTATTACCATCGCTTACTTAAAATTTCTCTATATTAGCTTATAACATGTGCATACAGGAAATAAGATTACTTTTAGTTACTAAACAGATATTGTTGCTTTTAAAACTTTTTTTTACCTGGCATCCTTCTGTTGAAAAGTCAATTGGCTGTCTAATCTCAAAGTAAGTAGCTGCTTCTGGTGAAGTGCATCATTCAGTTTCTCCTCTAATTCTTCAATCTTAAAAAGAGAATAAGGTGTTCAATTTTCAAATTTATCATACAGAAAAAACCTTTAATTTGAAAAAAAAATTAAAAACTTTTAAAAGAAACATAATAAAAATGAATAGAGGGTTTCTTTTATAATGGTTTGTATCTACAGACTGCAAAGTCGGCTCATACTATGGTTTGAAATAGTTGAGTGGCATATGGCTTTCTGCCAGACTATCATAAGACTATTGTTTTCATCTTAACCCAAGCTTCCCAACTGAGCAGCTCATTGACAACTGGGAATTCATGCTGCTGTCTTGCCTAGTTATTATTTCTAGGCCAGATCCAATATTTGTATTTCAGATCCATTAATCTGGCTACTATACATCTTCAATTGACTAGGACATGGGTGAGGCAATGAATATTCAAAACAAAATGGACAGCTGACCTTACCTAATTCTTTTTTTTTTTTTTTTTTACAGAATAGTATAAATGTTTATTTTCTGTATGATTTACTTTCCTATCCTGTTTTTACAATATAGAAAAGTGTATTTGAATAGCTCTAGTAAATATAAATTTAATCTTTCTACTTTGGGATGTAAATAGAGCTAGAAAATTATATACCCAACCCTCCCCAAATAGTCTTTTAAAATTGTTGGATTAATGTGGCTATTAATCTTGTTCAGCAATTTGATGCAAATGCCTAAATACAAAAAGTTGTTTAGTAAGTACTACACAAGAAGAAAAAGGCTTAATTCTTTAGATAGCTTCTTGAAAATCAAAAACTAGTAGCATTTGATTGCACCTTCAAATTTTTACAAGCAAGACATTCTTAAGCAATGCCATCATACATAATCTACAATTGTAATCAAAATTTCACAAACATTTTCTGCACACTGTATATAAATACACATCACAATGGTGCAATTAGAATTAACACAGAATATATACAAAATGAACAAAGTTTAGGTTCAGACCAAAAACTTATTGCAATCTTTTGAAAAATAACTTCATTAGATATTATTTTATCCTCTTACAGTAATTTACATTTATACAAATTTAATTAGACATACTAGATTGAGGTGCTAAGAATGTTTGCACTATCTACATTTAAAGTTACTGCACTATAATTTTATAAATCCAAATTTCAAAAGAAGGATACTTTAATGAATAACGGAATCCTCTTCTGGATTACTTAATTTCTATTGCCTATATCTTGCATGTTCATATGAACATATATACACACTTAATACATACAACTATAGAGTCCTTATAGGAAATGTAATGATCATATACTAATAATTACTGAGGATTAAAGCACCTAACAAAACGCCTGAATTCCAACATGGTTTTTTGTTGTTGTTGTTTTGTCATAAAATCAGGAGTCCTATTAAAAGGCTCTTAAATTCATAGAGTTTTTAAATTACTGAAAATGATTTAGGTAATTTCAACAATTATCTGAAAACACACGTACCTTCAGCTTACCAAATCACTGGCTAAAAATAATGGCATATTAAACATCCCATATAAAAAAAATCCCACTATAATTTTGAATGCTTTGTTAGGCAGCCCATTTGAGTAAATCAATTAAGAGTCGTGTATTGGTTTGAAAATTTTCTGTTCAAAAGTCTACAAAGAAAACTGTAGAGATGAAAAATCTTTCCCTAAATTCACTCTCTTACAGCTTTTTATTCCTTATATCTCCATTCAAGCCAAATTTTATACTTGATAGTTATGAGAGGATCTACATTATCACTACATAATGTTTACTTCTATTCACACATACCTCATTTTAACAATACCCAGCAATCACTTCAACAATTTATTATTTCAAACACATACCACCTCTGAAAGACAATGGAGACATCCTTCAGCATGTTAGCCATTCCTCATTATAGAAAAACTGCCCATCTTTTGAAAATCACTTACTGTCCCTTAATATTTTGTTTTCTTTTGTTCTGTTTTTTGGAAAATATAACTTTTAATTTTAAAAGTGTGCCTGGGGATTACTTCCCCTTCTAATTTATCAAAGTGACAATAGCATATCCCAGAATTCACCCTAAAAAAGCTAATTTTTCTTAAGAAGATAGCACTTTTCTAAACATAAGATGTCGTCCAAATATGTTCCATAATTTGTTTATGTAGACATTCTGTCTATGTTTATTCTAAATCTAGAACCAAAGAATGACTTGGCAATACCAATGCTGCTTTGGTTTTTTCTACTGAACAAAGTCATACAACGCCATACATTATAAATTATATCATAGTAATTTATAAATGTTCTTTGCCAATAGAATCAGAAGGATAGAACATCTAATTCTTAAGAAACCCAAGTAAATTAAAAATCTATATAATACAATAAAGAAAAAATTTTAAAAGAAAAATTCTATTTAGAAGGGGCATAGAATTAACTAAGATTTAAAATGTACTAATTTCCTCATTTAAAATTTCTTCTCTTTCAATATTATAATTTCAGGTCTCTTAAAACAAGGACTGAATTCAAATACAGTAATTGTTAAACTATCTTCCAGATAGTCAAGCATCCTTAAAATTTCTGTACAGGTTCATTTATCAGTCTTGTGCAAGAGTTAGCAATTCATGGCACAAGGGTCACTTTTTGCTTTTCCTGCAGAGTTGATGACGCTCATCAAACATCGTCCGAATTCCTCAAGAATCATCCGCTCTGCTGCTGCCTTTGATTTTCCCTTCTTGTCTGCCTGCTCTGCCTGGGCGAGAAGGCAATTACATGTGGCTTCAGCTACTTCCTTAGTTACAAATGTAAATGGCAACTTTCCTCCTCCACTATTCAAAGCCGGTGTTGGCCTAGTAAGTAAGTCTGAAATCTGAGAGGATAATTTCGTCTTTGCTGCTGTTTGTTGCTGCACCCTTACTTCAGCTGCATCTGCCAAATGCATCAATGTCTTTCTTTCTGGGCTTTCTTCAAAATTCTTACAGCCAATACATTTACATATTGAGGAACACATTATTTTTGCCTCATAGCATTCACAGTAGTTTTTAAGACATCCTGATCGTTTGCAATTACATCCTTTGCTGTGACGTCGATCTGATTCTCCCTCCTTTCCTTTCCCTATCTTAGGCTTAAAAGCTTCTGGATTTCTGTCAAGGCATGCCTTTATCGCTTTTTGCCTTTCATTTTCATGTTCCAAATTGTTGTAACAATTAGTACAGTTGCAATTGTTGCAAAATTCGCCATTTGCAAAGCAGTCACAGTACAATTTCAAACACAGCGATTTTGTACAGTTGCAGGGTTTTCTTGGCCGACTGGCAGATTCTGATGGAATTATGCCATTGAATGGGAGTCTTGCCTGGGTCTGGATACCAGATGTTCCAGTAAAATTAGAGTTGCTTGCTATAGACACATATGAAGACTGCTGTAGCTGAGTAACGTACTGAGCTGGAAGCACTGCATAACCCACATTCCCTGTTCCTGGAGCTGGTACCAGGACAGTACCTGGTGGCAGGTTAGTGAGGTTGGGCTGGATCTGTGGCAGTGGGGTGGCAGGCATGATAAGCCGTTGCTGTGGTTGGCTAGTAGTTACTATTTGTGAAGTTGGATTGATGGGTTTGGGGACAACTTGTTTGACAGCCTGAGCTTGGACAAATGGAACTGACATCCGCACTGGGGTTGTATTAACAACCACTGGCTTTGCTTGCTGAAGAGGCTGAGTGTTTGTACTGGGATTCTGACTAACTGGTTGGGTTGAGCTACTGGCTGTTGTGGCAGTAACAAGTCGGACATAATGAAACTTGCTTCCATGCACTTGAATCTGCTGGACATTGGGAGCAGTTGCCAGAGGAATAATTGTCTTAAACTGTGATGTGCTCACTCCTCCAACAGTGATGGTCTGCACAGCTGATTTCACTGCCTTATTTGGCGATTTCAAAGGTGAGATGGCTATTTTATTTGGTGTCTGTGTTGTAGAATTTAAAGTTGATCCAATAACACCACTTTCTGATATTGTAATGGTCTTTGATGGAGTTCCAGGAGTAGACTGTGAAAGAACCCTACCTGCAATGACTGATGGTGATACTTGAGTTGTCTGTCCTGTAACTGCTTTACTATTAATTGGTTTTGCAAAGATCAGCTTCGTGATTACTGGACCACAGGTTGGTGTTCGAGGCTTCTTAGCAATCTCAGCTGGCACCACCTCCATGATCGTTCTCCTGCTAGAAAGGTGATCAGGTGCAAAACCGGCGGCGCCGCGGCCTCCTTCTCGCGCGGCGCTTCCTGGGCTCCCAGCAGCCGCGGCGGCGGCGGCGCCTCCGAAACACAGACCCGGGTTTGTTCAAAATCACGCGCCCAGCGCCATTCCACCGCTGCATCCCATAATACCGACCTTACCTAATTCTATATTTGCTGAATCTCCCTAGCGTCCAAAGTAAAAATAATAAATAAATAAATAAATAAATAAATAATATACATTCTGTTTGATATGCTTGCCTAGGTTACTGTAATTCTTCATTGGCTTCCCTGCCTACGGTTTTACCAACTTTCCCAACTATCTTCCTTTATATTACCTTTTTAAAATGATGTCAAAATTTTACTTTCCCTGAATCTAACCAACATGTCATGTGTGTATATAAATGCAACAAAGGAATTATCTCTTTCATGCATATGTAGAAAGTACCAATAAAAAACAAATAAATAAAGGTGTGAAAGGAAGAACAATAGAATAGACAGAAAAAAGGAGGGAGAAAGGAGGGGAGGAATGGGGATTGAAATCAGATTCCTTTTATGTAAAATATACCAAAAGGAACCCAAATATCATGTATAAATATAATGCTCTAATAAAATAATTTAAAATGTACTTTCCCATTTTTAAATTCTTCAGAAGAGCCTATCTTAATAAAAAATTCTAAATTTTGGAGCTGGGGTTGTGGCTTAGTGTTAGAGTGTTTGCCTAGCACATGCAAGGCTCTGAGTTCGATCTTCAGCACCACATAAAAATAAATAAATAAAAATAAACGTATTGTGTCCAACTACAATTAAAAAAATATATTAAAAAAATTCTAAATTCTGTGGTTAATACAGTAGTCTTTCTTGATCTGACCCTTCTGAACCACTTCCTTTGTCACTAGCTTAAAGGAAAGCTGTTACAGCCAAAATAAATGCTTGCCATTTATATTGTGTTTCCCTTAAACTTCCATTCCCTAGGATTTTATTCTTAGTCTATTTATAAAACTCTTTATTCTTCCCTTTCAACGCAGGCAATTCTTTTTTGCCCTTTAAAATAGATGAATTTGTGGACTGGGATTGTGGCTCAGTGGTACAGCGCTTGCCTAGCACAGCAGGACCTGGGTTCAATACTCAGCACCACATAAAAATAAAGGCATTGTGTTGTGTCCATCTACACCTAAAAAATAAATATTAAAAATAAAATAGATGAATTTGACAGTCCCTAGTATATTCAAGTAAATCCCTCTTGCAACATCAAATTCCTCTTCTCTACTGGATCATTCTTATTATTAAGCAAATACCAACAAAACAACAAATAATGCTCTCTTCATCACACCACACCTTCACTCCAGTATCATTTTTCTGCTCCCCTTCAGTGTAAAACTTCCATACAATTTTTGTCCCATCCTATTCCAGTGACACAAAATTCTTTTGTTTGTTTGCTTTGTGGTACTACAGATTGAACCCAGGGACACTCTACATCTATGTGCCACATCTCCCACACTTTTTAGTTTTTATTTTGCGAGAGGGTCTCGCTGACAACGCTGACCTTAAACTTGTGATCTTCCTGCTTCAGCCTCCCAAGTAGCTGGGATTACAGGTGTGCACCACTGTATCTAGCCACAGTAAAATTATGCTTATCAAAGTCCAAAATACTAAGCTCAATGGCATGTTTATCTCACTTGACAGAATGACCATACAAAGCTGACCTCTCTTGTTTAGCTTCCAAGACACTTCTTCTTCTGGTTGTCTTCTAATTATACTGGATACTCTTATGCTCCTCAAGCTCCTTTGCTGGATTCTCTTCTCTGCCTCATTTCTAAATGTAGGACAGCCCCTTGACTTGGCCCTCTGCTTTCTTTAGGTAATGACATTCAATTCCATGGCTTTACATGCCATCTGTATGCTGAGGTATATTTCATAAGTAGATAAATAGTCATGGACCCTCCCCTAGACTCTAATAGCCAATTCCATTTAGGTATCTAATGAGAAGCTAAAATTTAATGTGTTCTAAAGAGAACTTACATTTAATTCCCATATCAGTTTCTTCCCACCGCTTCCATTTCTCAATAAATGGTTCTAGTTGAAGCAGAAACTCACCAACCTTACGACAATTCCCTGTCATCTCCTTCTGCCTTATCTGTTCTATTACTTTTGTGCCATTCTGAATAAAAAAATCAGGACATGTAATACCACCTGCCTAAAATCTGCCAATAACTTTTCTGACTACATAACCTAAACAAACAATGGCCATGGGTCAAATCCAGCTCTTGTCTTATTTCTGTGTGTCCTGTGAACTAAGAATAGGATTTATAGTTTAAAAGGTCTAGGAAAAAAAAATGAAAAACAAAACAGAAAAACAAAAGGCAAGAACAAAGAAGAAAATGTGACAGACCTTATATAGCGCAAAAAGCAGAAAATTCTTACTGTCTAGCAGTTACAGAGTAAGTTTGCAGATGCAATCTCCAAAAAAAAGAACCGTCATTGCTACATTCCCAGCATCCTGTCTCAAGACTGCATAAAAAAAAATACAAAATAACCATATTCCTCATAATTACTATGTTGCAAATCAAGGATATACATTACCACTAGGAAAGAATTCTATTTTTTCAGAATTACAACTTTTACAATTTTAACTAACTTCTAAATTAAATTCCTTAACTCAGTGACAAACTGCATCCTTTCATTTTCTAAGTAATAAGGAACCCACAAACTTCTAACAAGATATAAACAAAACCAGTTTCTGCATGTGAAAACTGATAGGCAAGAAGAATAAAGAAATAAAGAAGTGGATGTAGGTGTCAACGAATGGGGATAAAGTGAAAAGCTAACAATTTTCGACTATCAGTTTAGCCTGGGCAGCTAGCTACCTTTCTAAGTTCTCTCTGACCTCATTCTCACTGATCTAGGCATAGATGCTTTTAAGTTTTTCTTAGATCCTTTGTTTCTATTTTTAGACAGAGAAAGCAAATCAGAATAAGTAACAAGATCAAAAGAACTATAAGTAACAAGCTGTAATAAAGTCAAACATTTGTAATGCTGTGGCAGATGTTAAGATTCACATATTTTCTAAGTCAAAATAAAAGACCTTCATGAGTAGAAGAAAAAAATCATGACTTGCCTTCCAATATTATCTTCCTTCTTTCTGACTTAACTATGGATTTTTATTAGTTAATACAATAAGTCCAGTTAAAAACTCACACTTCCTAGCTTCCAATCCTTTGCAGGCAAGGGTGGTCAATGCTATACAGTTCTAGTCAACTGAGATAATTGGCTTGAACTTCTACTTCTAGGAATGCTCTTTAGAGAAGACTGATCCATTGGCACATTCCCCCTTTTCCTATCACCATTTTCCTCATTACTACCTGTAGCTGTATACAACACTGGAGGCAGATCAACCACCTTAAGATTTTGAGGTGGAATATCATATGCTAAAAAATAGCTGAGCAGAAGATTAAAAGGCACTTGGATTCCTAATAATGTCAAAGAATAATCATACCAGGCTTAAATTATTTATTTTCAGATCCTATAAAGAAAGAAAATCATGCACTGAGGTAGCAAAAAGTTGGAGGCAATCTGTGTGCCTCATACTGTGGGTGAATGGACTGGTAGATACAGAGAATTATGTTAAGAGTTAGAAGCTAAGTAGCAGATGGGTGTATAGTAATTCAGATGATTTTTAAAATAGCTAAATAAGGCTGGGGTGTGGCTCAGAGGGGGAGTGCTTGTCTAGCATGTGCAAGGCATTGGGCTTGATTTGCAAAAATAAATAGATAGACAGATATTGAAACAAAAGTAAATATATTTTAAAAACAATGAATTGTTATGATTAATGACTATTATGTGTCATACATTTAGGAATATAGCTAACTTAGTCTTGTACATTTGTAGTCCAACTAGAAAACTACCACCAAAAACTATATCAAGAACTGTGGAGGCACAAGAATATTAATATAGTGCCAGCTACAGATAATTACATTATTTACAATCATAATGTGTTTTTATCATATACCAGGTGCCTAAGAGCTAACATACATTGATTAATTTAATCCTCAAGATAATTCTGTGATATAAATACTATTATAATTTTACAGAACATCAAGGAATGAAAAAGTTAAGGAATTTGCCCCAGGAAACTGGTAACGATGGAACTGAATCCCTAACTATGTATACTTAAAATTTTGGCTGTTAACTAGACAGTCTCTCATGAATCAGTCACCATTTCTATAGTGTAACACATTAAAAAAAAAATAAGAGCAGTGCCCACACCTGCAATCCCAGGAGTATGGAAGCCTGACGCAGGAGGATCACAAGTTCAAAGATAGTCTCAGCACGTTAGCAATACCCTGTCTCAAAATTAAACAAACAAACAAAACCCAAAACCCACAAACAACCCCCCCCAACAAAAAACCCCAAAACAAGAAAAGCTATTTAAAACCAAGCACAATATAAATTGAAAACAAATAAAAGAATTAACCAAATAAAATGTAATTGTGGATATGGTATATAATTGTCACTTAATGAAATATTTGTTGATTGAGTGGATGGATTAATAAATGGGATATTAACTCAGGCTTTTTCAATGAGGTGTACTAAAGGAAATCTTGAGAGAGAGGAATATATGAGCCAATAGCACTGTGGGAGTGTATATGAAGTAAAAGCAATAGGAGTAAACTATTAAGGACAGGAAACCACTGGATGCACTGATAACGTACCAAGCGACCTAGAGTAGGGTAGGTGACTGTGTAAATAAAAGGAAGTGTTTGGAAATTCACTTTATTGGAGTATGGGCTTTAGACTTCCTAGGATTTGAATCCTGTCTAGTTCTACCACTTTTATCTGAATGGCCTTGGGTATGTATTAACCACTCTGTGGCTTTGTTTCATCAAGAGAAAAATGGGGTTCAGTTATATATATTACATAGAGGGGGTAAAAAAATGAGAATACTATTTTAGTGGATAACAACAACCAATACTGTGTGCTTAGTAGGTGTTAGAGTCTGCACCCCAAATTCAGATATTGAAACGTAATCACTATTGTGATATTATTAAGAAGTGGAGTTTTTGTAGGGGGCGTGATTAGGTTGTATGGGTGGAGCTCCATGAGTGATGAGTGCCCTTGTAAGATACCTCTGAAAGCTAGCTTACCCTTTTGCCACGTGAGGACACTGCAATAAGTATGCAACCCAGAAAAGGGACAGAACTGGACTACACTGGACACCCTAATTTTGGACTTTTCAGCTTCCCAAATTATGCAAAATATATTACTGTTGTTTATAAACTACCTATCCTCTGGTATTTTGTTATAGCAGCTCAAATGTTATAAGGCACTAAGTAACAGTACTAGTCTAACTTATTTTATTGACTCATTAATAAGATGGGTTATAGAAGACCCTATCCCCTCAAAAGAATCTATATTTCAAAGGATTTATGAGGCATAAATAAAACCACAAATAAAAAGCTCTTAGAAGAGTGTCTATGCACAAAATAAACTCAATAAGTGTTAAATATTAAATTTAAAATATTAATTTTAGAAAAAGCTTACCTAAATTACTTCTCTACTTTTTCGAGATTTTAAGGTTTGAGACAACTTATTTTACTACAGACATATGGTCAAGAAGTATTTCTACAGGACACTAAAGTATGTTAGTGTAGCTAGACAAGAACTAAAAATGAAAGACTGAATTAACAAGGAAAGGTATAAATGAAACAACAAAATGGAGGAGTAGAAAGAGCTGGGACCAGGAGCACCATTGTAAACAAAAGATTTTCTTGGAAACAGAAATAGTAACAGTAAAGAACTGTCTCTTATCTTTCTGAAATCAATGTATATTTCCTAGGGCTAGTGAAAACTTTACCAGGTCTTACAAAAACAACTTTGAACTTGTAAATAAGCAGAAAGGGCCAAAAACCAAGGACTAGAATATTCTTATTTGCATGGCAAACAACACTTACTAAAGACTATGGTACATGAGTTTATGACTCCTTGTATGACATAGTAACTATCAAACAGAAAGTCTCAGTAACTACCAAAAGAAAGAGAACAAAGAATTCAATTTCTAGGACAAGGACAATACAGATTCAATAATATAATCATGCTCTTGACTCTTCCTATCCAACTAGTCACGTCATGGTCAATGAAGCAGAAACAACTTAGGTAAAAATTATACCTAAGAAAATAAAACTTACACTGCTAGATTTTAAAAATGGAGCCTACAGAAGTAAATTCATCTCTGTTCACATTTAAATCACTCCATCATTCAAAACTCAAAGTATTAAAAGGCTTTCCAGGACAAGGAATATAAGTGTATCATTTTAAGTTCAGATAACATACATAAATTTTTTTATTTTTATGCAGTTTAAAGATGATAAAGAATGTAAATAACAAAATGTACACCCGGTCTTACCTTTGTAAGATAATCCACTTTCAAATTGTCAATCATCATATTTTTCTGGGATAGTTCTATTTTCAGTAATTGAATATTATGAAGTAGTTCTTTGCGTTGAATTAGCTGCCTGGTTATTTTCATTTTACCCTCTCGCTCTTCTGACGAGGAAATATCATCTGTAGGAATTGTTGTTTCTAAGCTAATATCTTCAGATTCCAGAGAACTGGAGATATTTATTTTTTTGAGCTCCGTAGGAAGTTTTCGAGACATCTTTTATTATGGGCCAGTTTTCTTTCCCAATTTAATCTTCTGTAGATTAAAAACAAACAAAAATTTAAATATACCAAAACATTAATAGAAAGTAGAGAGCATTAATGAGGTACTAAGAATTCCTCAAATAATTAAGCAATTTGGAAGACCCCAAATTTAAGACAGAGCACTACAGTAAATTACTGCTAAATCAAACACAGAGTAAATCCTACTGTGAATTCAGCTCTTTGAATGAAAAAAAAAAAATCCTGTGGCAAGAATCCTATTCTGAGGAAACAAAGAGATGTACAAAATGAAGTCCATTAGTACCCCAATATGCACCCATTAAAAGCAACACAATCTCAAAGAGAAGAAGAACTGTCCCTCTAACAGAATCACTTCTGAGTTGGTCAGGTAAGATTATACAGATATAGGACTTAAAATTTTGAAGAATTTGGACAGGAGTAGTATAAAAGGGAAATCATGCAGGCATTAGGTGGGAATAGAGGTGGAAGAAGTGTGAACAGCAGCAGAAGACAGTGGTAGTGCAGCTCTAGCAAATCCATGAATTTGAACAGTGATTCGCCCCGACTCCATGCACCCTAAAAAATCAAGACTGCTGACTTAAATGTCATATTGCGTTCGGATTTTATTCTACAGGCAACGAAGCAAGACTGAAGAGTTTCTAAACGGGGAAACAATGAGAAAAAACATTTTAGATAGACAAGCTAGATCCCAGAATGAAAACAAGAGTAGAAGAGAAAAATTCGTAGAACTAATAGAAGAGAAAATTCTAAGTAGAACGTCTTACCTTTTTGCAAGAATTTTTAGCCACTTTCATCTTTAAATACTACAGGATAAAATAAATTATTTATGATATTGTATATTTCAGGTTTTCTAAGCCGGATTAGGAAAGAGGTGTGTGGAGGGGAAACACTAAGATCGGCCTCCTTCCTCCTCTTTAAAGAGAAGGGAGATAAAGAAAGGTAAAAATCAAAGGCAAATCCTCTTCTGAATTACGAAGGTTCAGAGCCCAAGACTGCCCTGACCATTTGGTGTGACGAGTAAGCCCCAAACTTGGCAACCTCGGAGAATTCCTTGCCCCACGCAGGGAAGAAAGGGAAACTGGTAATTGCAAGATACCTCAAAAGCGTCAATTACTCCACATCCACGGGTGGACCTGCCACCACCCCGACTCTTCCAGGAACCGAAGGCTTCTTCAGTCAGCAGCTCAGGGTGCAACCCCTCAAAAAGGAATCGCCGGGGACCGTTAAGCGCAGTAACCAAGACAACCACCACCGCGAGCAAAGGAGGACGGAAGAAGAGGCGGTGTGCAAGGGCCCACGCCACCGGAACCCGACCAGCCAGGTACCTTAGGCGCGGGAAGCGAGGCAGTCTGGGAGCTGGAGTCCTGCGGCAAGCCCCGCCCAGGCCACGGGCGGAAGCGGTCTCTGCCGGAGCTGCGAGCTCTCGTCCAATCCTCGAAGCCGTCAGAGAGCCGACTAGCGTCTGTCTCGGAGTTTTCCCGCGAGAGATGTGCACTAATATCCCGGAGCGGGAAGCGGCGAACCTCTGGGTGAGGTATAGTCGTGCCACCGGGCTCGTGGTTTGAAGCTTCTTTCTCCGGAAGAGTGTTGTGGGAGCTGGGATTCTGCGTGGGGTCGGGATTCTACTTCGTGAGGCAAGATGCTCAAATCCAAGACGTTCTTGAAAAAGACCCGGGCGGGCGGCGTCATGAAGATCGTACGCGAGCACTACCTGAGGGATGACATAGGCTGCGGAGCGCCTGGGTGCGCGGCGTGCGGCGGGGCGCACGGTGGACCGGCTTTGGAGCCTCTGCCCCAGGACCCCGCGAGCAGTCTCTGGCCGCGGCCGCACTACTTGCTGCCCGACACCAACGTTTTACTGCATCAGGTGCGTCGGCTGGAGCACGAAGGGCGTATCGCTCGCCTTCCCAGGACGAGGGGGGCGTGGCAGATAGGGAAACTGAGGCTCAGGGAGGAGGGTCTTTGGCAGTACCTCCTACTTTGGAGAGCCAAGCCCCTTAGGGACCCTCACTTCCGTTTTCCCAGGCTGAAGTTCTTTTCCTTATGCCTTTTTCTTTATTTTTCCCTTTTTTCGGTTTTGGAGTCTTATTTTAGACACGTTAATTTTCTAACTCCTGGTGTCTCTTCTACCTTCCTTAGATTATAAGTGCCTGGAAGCCGGGGACCTGGGCTTCTGAGGCTTCCAGCTTGCGACCCCCAGGCAGCTTGTAAGTGCCTACGAACAAAAACTATGTGGGCCAACATATTTCTTTATTAATAACCTTAATTCTACGAAGTTTTGTGAATGGTCTGTTTACGTGTGCTCTTCTCAATTAGGCCTGAAGGGTTGAGAGTTGCTTGTCACTTTTTTTTATAAGCAAAATAATTCCTTGGCTTAATGTCAAGTCAGTATTTTTAAACCGACAAGGTGTTGTTTGACCGAAACAGTTTATAAATGAATATAGGAAGAATTAACACTTTTATTTTTCAAAGATTGATGTTCTTGAGGACCCAGCCATCAGGAATGTAATTGTACTACAAACGGTTCTCCAAGAAGTGAGAAATAGGAGTGCTCCTGTATATAAAAGAATCCGGGATGTGACTAATAACCAGGAGAAGCATTTTTATACATTCACTAATGAGCACCATAGGTAAGAGAAAAATTATGTTAAATTTCACAAAATTAGCTAAATGTGATAGAAAATTCGTGTTAGTAATTTGTGACATTGTCAAAGGTTTATGATGGTTTTATGTGCTATTTGGGTCTTACACAGCTGTGTGGAAAATAATGCTAAGTGGATCTCACTAAGGTCACATTAGCATTGGTGAGGTCAAGCCTAAAACTAGAATATACTGGCGTTTAGCCTGTAATAGTTACTTTTACTTCCAAAATGTATTTATTTCAATTTGGTTTTAGCCTGAGTTGAACAGTGAGTGGACTCTTGGAAGATGAGATTTGCATAGGTTCCTGGAATACCATAATATGTGAATAACCAACATAGCATGATAAAATATAATTTTGTAAAGGAGATACTTTTACTGGGTTCATCACAGTTTCTTAGCCTCAATACTATTGACATTTTGAACTTAATAATATTTTATTGTGGTATGGCTGTCTTATACATTATAGGATGCAGCTCCTTTGCTTCTATTTGATTGTTGCTAATAGCAATTCCCCTACCACCACCACCATGTTGTAACAACTCAGAATGTCTCCAAATATTGCCCAATGCCCCCTAGGGACAAATTCAACCCCTGATTGAGAACCACTGCATTAGAATATAGAGTCTAGTAACAAAATCCATCAAATTATGCAAAATTTTGAAAAAATCTAATTTCTCAAATTTCTCTTATCCCCAAATTAAATATTGCTCTCCTAAAGGTTATCACTAAAGCACTATAGACTTCGTGATCCTTGCACTTCTTTGAAATCCAGAAACAGAAACATAATTTGTTTTTAGTACTAAAAGACCAAGTATTTGTGGGACATATTCATCTGGTTTCTAACCAGTGGTTAGCAATTTTGTTAGCTCAAGTGCTGTGAATAGGACTTAACAATGCTAGAATTGATGGGAAGACTCTTAGGACACTAGGCAAATTACACCTGAGATTTTATTACTCAAGTCTTAGTAAAACCAAATTCAAATTTATGACCATGTTGCTCATTGATTAGATTAAAGCACTAGCAAGTATATGGTGGGGAATAAAATAATTCTATTATCAATATAAATAAGTCTAAAATTCTAAAACTGAATTTATTATCTTTAAACACTAGAGAGTAGTGTACTGAATTTTGTTGTTATGCTTCAGTCTGACTTTGAAGAACAGATTTAAAGAAGTAGATAAGTGTGTTCATATACTTGGGAGCTCAGAGTGGAAGACTTAGAAGAGAAATACACTCATCTCTGTCTGCTCTTTTAGTCTTTAGAGAGCCTTGACCATTTATTAAGTGTTTACATGGATAATTTACACAGAGTATATATTTAATGACTGGAATCACATGACCATAAATCATCTAATCAAATTATTTGTAGTATAGTTTGAATAACATCTCATCAGATCTGCAAAGTTTTATTAGTTTATTGTAGTGAACTATTATTCACTGTCCCAACTTAAGATTATTAATTCTGGCCTTGAATGTTTTCTTTTTGTAAAATAAAATTTTCTGAGCCTTTTTATTGTCCCATTGATAGTATAATTTTCTTCTATTACAAGCAAATTGTTGTCTTAAAATCATGGGGCTGGGGTTGTGGCTCAGTGGTAGAACGCTTGCCTACCATGTGTGAGGCCCTGGGTTCGATTCTCAGCACCACATACAAATAAGTAAATAGATAGATAAATAGATAAATAAGTAAAGGTCCATCACCAACTAGTAAAAAATATTTTAAAGAATTATACCAGTGTGGGCTGGGGTTGTTTTCTCTGATATAAGGAGGCTGATGCATAGTGGGATAGGGAAGGGGAGCATGGGAGGAATAGAGGAACTCTAGATAGGGCAGAGGGGTGGGAAGGGAAGAGAGGGGGCATGAGGTTAGAAATGATGGTGGAATGTGATGGACATTATTATCCAAAGTACATGTATGAAGACACGAATATACTTTGTGAATATATTTTGTATACAACCAGAGATATGAAAAATTGTGCTCTAAATGTATAATAAGAAATATAATGCATTCCATTGTCATATATAAATAAAACAATTAATTAAAAAATTATAACAGCGTGGGCTGGGATTGTGGCTCAGTGGTTGAGTGCCTGCATAGCACATATGGGGCCCTGGGTTCAATCCTCAGCACCACATAAAAATAAATAAAATAAAGGTGTTGTATCCAACTACAACTAGAAGGTAGGTATTAAAAAAAGAAAAATCATACCAGTAAGGATCCTGTTGATTTTCTGAAGCCTAAGTTTATACATCCAAGTGAAATAGATGCACTATTGACTTTTCAGTTTAGTGGTTGAACATTTGTGTCCTCGTAGTTTTTACATCTTTGTTTCTATTCGGTTCCTTCATTTCATTTTCCCTTTTCTTTACATTTAGAGAAACCTATGTAGAACAAGAACAGGGAGAAAATGCTAATGACAGAAATGATAGAGCCATTCGAGTAGCAGCAAAATGGTACAATGAACATTTGAAGAAAATGTCAGCAGAAAATCAGCTACAAGTTATCTTTATAACCAATGACAGGAAAAACAAAGAGAAAGCTGTTGAAGAAGGAATACCAGCTTTCACCTGTAAGTCTAAAAGTAGAAGCCATTACTGCATGCTTATAATTAATTGTATGTAAAAATTATGATCAGGCCTATGGTCAGATGTTCACTTGACTATATAATATTTTCATTTTCCCATATAATTGCATGTGATTTTTTTTTTTCATTTTTTAATTTCTCAGAGTTTTTTTAAGTCAAGTCAGTTGTTGTGTTCATTAACTGTTAATTTTTCCCTTACTATTTGCAGTCGACTTGCAATATACTGGACCTACTGATGCTTCTGAGACAGGACCATATCAAAAGATTCATTTTTAATTTCAGATTGACAGTGTCAGAAATAAGATTTTTCATGATCTTTCATACCTAAGGGAAAAAGACATTTGAATTAATTAAGAACAATGTCAACTTAATTTTCAGGTGAAGAATATGTAAAGAGCCTCACTGCTAACCCTGAACTCATAGATCGTCTTGCTTGTTTATCTGAAGAAGGGGTATGTTTCAATTTTTTTTGTTTGGTTTGTTTGTTGGGTATTAGATATTGAACTCAGGAGCACTCAACCACTGAGCCACATCCCCAGCCCTGTCTTGTATTTTATTTAGAGACAGGGTCTCATTGAGTTGCTTAGTGCCCTCACTTTTGCTGAAACTGGCTTTATAATCCCAAGCCACTGGGATTATAGGCATACATCATTGCACCTGGCCAATTTCTTTTGTTTTTGAAAAGTGAAAATATTAAAATAGCCACCTTGAGATATGAGACAGTTACCAAATTTAAAAATTGGAATATGAGTCAGTAAGCTAGAATTTGAATAAAATTGTTTATTGTGTTATATATAACAAGAGTGATTGTAATAGGCTTATTGGAATGCAATTCCTAAATGTAAACTTTTTAAAATAGGGCCTGGCACATGGTGGCTCTATTTTTTTAAATTTTTCTTTTAGTTGTAGATGGATACAATATATTTTGTTTATTTATTTTTTTGTGGTACTGAGGATCGAACCCAGCACCTCACATATGGGAGGTAAGCACTCTGCCACTGAGCCACATCCCCAGCCCTTTCTTTTTTTTTGAAATGAAAAAATGAATGATGCCCATGGCTGATTTGTGTATACATAGTGGTTATTTATAAAGAAGTGGTAGACAAAGCAG